CCCCAACCCCCCCAAGCTGCCCCCCTTCACTCCCAGTTCACCTCCTCAACCAGCCCCTCCCTGGCAGAGGCTCAACCTTGGAGCTGCAAGGGGGCTGTTTCCCTGGTGATGCTCAGTAGGATGAGTGACCTGCCCTGCATCCCGGTGCCTCACCAGAGGGTTTTCCCCCAGGTACCTGTTGCACCAGCCCCAGGCACTGGGCTGGGGGGGAAGGTGCGCTCTCCTGCGCCCACCGGAGGAGCCGGCAAGTGAACCAACAAGTTGCAGGGAGAGGGAAGAGGCAGCGGCAAGAGCCGCATGTAATCACCACTGCAGAAACCTGCGCGGGGAGGGAGCTAAAGCCACAGCGTGGCCACGCTCAAGTTTTCAGGCTCGGCTCCTCGCTGGGGGTGAAGCTGAACTGGGAAGGGTCTCAGGGGGCTGAGGCCGGGGTGATGGGGAGCTGCGGGGCTGGGCACTGCCCAGGGGCACCTGCAAGGAGAGTGGGAGGGGAGAGGAGCACATGGAGGCGTGGGAAAGGATAGAGGGGCAGGTGGGATCTGCACCTTCCTTCCAGCCGAGGAGGGGTGGGTCCTGGGCTAAACCATGGTCCCCTGCACCAGCCCCCCTCCCGAGGGGCTGTGGGGCACAGGCAGAGGTTTTCAGCATCGATCTTTCCACCGCAGGGAGGGGGCAGCTGGTCCCTGGGGGATGCAGGGCAAGGGCGGCTGTGCCCCTGCCAGGTGAGATCCGCAGCAAAGGGGGCACCTGCAGGCAGGCAGGGGAAGGGACAAAGCCACCCCCCCACCCCCCCCCAGAAGGGACGGGAGGTTTGTGGGCTCCCAGGGGGTCTGTGCCCAACGGGGTGGGTTGCTCTAGGTGGGGTGGCAAAGCTCCATCAAGACATCGAGGCATAAAGGAAAGGCCACGACCTCCCCAGCTGCACACCCCCCGAGAAGCCTGCAGCTTGCAGGGTTAAACCAGGACCAGAGCCCCCCCCCCTGCTTGCCAGCCTGGAGGTTGGGGGGG